TCTTTTTTTTTTCTTTTTCAAGACTAAAATTGAAAATGAAGCTCGTGCATTAATTTGTTTAGTTTATGAAAATGATCGATGTCTTCTTCATGTTGGTATAATTAAAATACATGGTATTCAATATCTTTTTAAACAATCAACAAATCATTTTCATCATCGAGGTATTTATTTTTTTTTTGTTTTTTTGTATTTACATGATAAAAAAAAAATATTAATATTATTAAATAGATCAAATTCAAATTCAAATTTGTACCATAGTTGATGGAAAAATAATAGGAAAAAGAAAATCAAAATCAATTCCAATTCTAAAAGGTATTTATACATTTAGTACATCGTTTCATTTTGATTATGTTTCACTTCATAAAACATTAATACGTTTGACAATATATTATCGACGATCATTAATTAGTAAACATGGTAAACCTATATCCATGATTGAATTTGGTTCAACACAAATAAAAAATCAACAAAATTTTCAACATTGGACTGATACATTATCATCACCAAATCGACCACATGTTCAATGGCATACACTTGAATCCATAGATACAATCAATGAAAAATAAAATTGTTTTCTTTTTCGGTTAATTTTCATTTTCTGATTTGGAAAAAAAAAAGCGAAAAAATGTACGGATACATAAAAAAAAATTGTATTTTATTATTTTTGTTTGACTGGTTCATTTACTTGATGAAATATTCTATAGTGTTTGTTAATGAAAATACCTATGGTTTATCATTCAGAGTCATTTCATGTAAATGTAATAGATTTTTTCTTTTTATCATTGTACCTAACTAATAGTTCATTCTTTCATGTCCTGCATAATGCTGTTGATTCTTTAGTAGTAGTAGTAGTATATCGCTTTACTTAATTTCTGAAGAATTGGTTTTTAGTTATTTCTCATTATCATAAAGAAAATGTATCAAAATCATATTCGTAGTATGTCAGTCTCATTAGAAAATGTCTAATAAAAATTATTTATTATTATTCACTTCAGATCAGGAATGTGACGTAGTATCCAGGAAAACTACAAAATTGTTGTTTTTTATTCTACAAGTTCTTTTCAACACAGAAATCATTTTTTTCTTCGCTGCGAAAAACATTACAACTTTTTGAAAGTTATGTGTGATGTCTTCTCATTAGCATGCATCGTAAAGTACCTTATCTATAGCCAAACATAACGGTATTTTTTTTTTGCAGAAAATTCCTATAACATAATCATCTCAACTTTTCATATAGAAGTGTCTTCCATAGATACACAACATTCAACTTGATAACATTTCGACTATGAAAAATGTAGCAATCATTCATTTTAACATGATACAATTGTTTTATGAAGGTACGTGAACTCATGATATGCTCTACCAGACAACAGGAGACAGGTGCTGTAATGAATGAACTTCATTAACTTGTCTTTTTTTGTTTCGTTGGCAAAAGTCTGTCTCATACATTTCTATTTGATTTTAGTAACCAAAATTGGTTGTGCTCTTTGAATATCAATGGCAAACCGAAATAAAGACAGCTTCTATTTATAAAATGATACTAATAATTTTTCTTAAAAACATCTTAATCGATATTTATTGAAAATTATTTCAATGAAATCATAATTTCCACGATATCGCACCATTTACTATGTTTGTTTTTTTTTAGATCCAACTATTACTTATGCAATATAAAAGATTATTTTTTTTTTCTGATACTCTATTTCAAATCAATTTGTCAGAAAACTAGCAACTAGTACATAAAAACTTTTTGACTAACGACAGATTATTTATTAGAAACCGATCCATAGATGAGTTAGTCAGGGTTTTTCAATCATAAGTCAAGTAAAAAAAAAGCGGCTTGACTTATCTATATGTGACTTAATCAAAATGTAATAAATATTTGATTAATAATGACATTGTCTAACATCACTATGATTATCAAAATAATACTTCTCTCATTCACAGAAATATGCGATGAAATTTTCGATTGTATGAAATATTTAATATGTTTTTGTTTGGCTCGATTAATTCTAAGTTCAAAACTATTATACAATCGCAAACATTAAAATAGCCTAAAATATCGCATTCAATTGAGTTAATTGAATTGTTAAAATATATTCTACATAGTTTAATATTATTCAAAAAACTATTTTACAAATGCATGCTAAAATTATTATTATTACATTGAATGTCTTGAACTCTATATGATCATATTATCTTTGTTATTTTGTTGAAGACGATTTCAATGGTAACTACTCAAGTTAAAACTCATTCGCTTAATTAAGAAATTTTTTTTCGATCAAGTAATGTTTTCTATATGAAGGAAAAATATTTTGATACGTGAAATTAAAACATATTTTTTGGCTATTTAACTAAAATATAATCTAAATTTGATTTTTGTACATTTTTTCATCATTATGTTGTTATCTTATTTGTATAAAGTTAGAAACCTACTTATAATTAATTATTGTTTACAAAAATGAGTTATGTCAGAGAATGATATATGATTAAACACCAACAAAGGCGGTTATTTGTGGATTACTATCAGGTCTATCATATTCATAATTATGTCAGAATCATTAACCTTTAGAAGAAAAATTACACGATAATAGTTTTATCAAAGCTTTTAGTATGAAGATCATGTTGTTTATCACTTTGTATGGAAAATAAAATAATTCTATAAAAACCATTTTTCATGCTATTTACTATAAATGGACCAAAAATGATGCAAAATGTCATGAAAAATACTACCTTCACATATATAATTAAGAAATTTTTAACAGTTACTCTGTCAATGTATAGATTATACTCATAGTAGAATGTATTATCTTGACAAGAATCAGAATAATCAGTCTCGGAAAGGACATGAAACAAAAAACAATAACAAAAACTTATTTACTTTTTTTTTGAAAAAAAAAACGCCATTTCCTAATCCATAAAACTAAGTCAAAGAATGTAGAAAAGAAGTCTATTTTTTTGAAGTTCGATTTAAAAAAAAAATGTTGAATTACAGAGCTAGAAATTAGCATCTTCCACATAGTCTCACAGACGTGTCAGAGGATGTTGATTTATGTTCAAAGATCAAATATTAATAGCGTCTCATGGTAAATAATGAACTACTTCTTCATTACGTTTCTAGAGAATTAAATAAAAGCATGGTAAATAGAGTACGTCTCAAGATAGATAGAATAAAACCACTCTTCTATGATTAGCAACAAGAGCTATATCGTATTTCACATTTCAATCCTGTAGGGATTGTGTTAATAGCTTTTTTTTTTACAATTTGTAGTCTATTGAAGACTCTACATAATAAACAAGAACCGTCTTGATTCAATCCTTTGTTACTATCAATGAATAGTTGCTATGATTGAATCAAAAATGCTATCAACAGAAGATAAAGGATAAAGTTAAAAAACTAAATCATTTCTTAAATAAATAATATAAAAAAAAATGAAACTAAACTTTTCATATACATAGTCGTATTTGATGAATACTATAAATATTTTGTTGTCAAATAATAGAAATTATGTTCTTGTATTTACTTAATAAATAATCTAGATTGTTTTGTAATAAAGAAAAATGTTGTAAATAGTACTACGAAAACGAGTATTAGGATTGTTTTATCGTCTGCATCATTCATGATTAACGATTGTAATTGATTTTGTTTTCTCGCATAAGAATGACTGATATGTTTCTGAGTTATTGTACTATCTATTTGTCCGATCATAAAGGCAAAAGACGAGAAAAGAACAATGAAGAAACAAAACAAAAGGGAAAAGGTTATTTTTTTTGTAGTATATATCAGTAGATATAGTTTTGACTCTTATTGTTTAGTCATCAACATTGTAAAAGAACTATTGCTCGACTTACGAACGCTATTTTGCATAGAAATTGCTTTTGACGATGACAAAAATAAAAATAAAGCAAGTAGTAGATGTTGTTCGATGATGACAAAATTCAAGTGATGACAGATCTTACGATTCATTCGAACAAAAACAAAGCATAAGATGATATAATCAGCAGCGATAATTAAATAAAGTAGACGACATTTTCATTTCTAATATGTTTTGCTTTCTCATCCATATGTTTTTGTTAATATATAAATATTCTACAAAAATATCATTTCATGTCGTCGGACTCTGTTTCATGTTGTTTTCAAAGACAAACATACACACTATCTATTTGACATCATAATCAATAATATATATATTTATGTATTGTTTCGGGTCAAAGTTTATTCATGAGTACATAATGTTAATGTGAACATCAAAGTTTGTTTTGTTGTTCAATTGATATTATTATTATGTTTATTATTGTTATACTATTTTTAGATCAGAAGACAAAAATCTATAGAATGGTCTTGTCAATCAAATAATAATTGTAGTAGTAATGATGCATCACTCTGATAAAATATGACAAGATGATGAAAATATATAGAACATCAAATTCATTTGTTGTTGATGTTTATATGTCAAGTTTTACTTCCTATATTTGAACAAACAAATATAAACAAGTTTACTTAAATTTAATAATACTGATTAATAAATTCCAATGGTCACTATAATATTTTTTCTTATATCAAATGAAAGTAGATTAACTGTTGTTATTGTTATCACATTGATATTTAGACTATTGAGTACAAATGAAACTATGATAATGCTAATAGCAATTGTTACTATATCATCAGAAATAAAGTTACAAAATACTAAACTAGAACTATAAATATCAACAAAAAAAAAAAAGAAATAATGAACATATTTTAATAATAATTTGCATGTCATAAGATTATTAGGTTTGTACACCTCAGTATTTAGGTCGTAGCATTTTAGTAAGCAAAGAGAATTGATGGCATCAGGATAAGAGAGAGAGAGGGAGAGATAAGAGAAGAACATCGATGATGTTACCAGAAAAATACGAAGAAAGAAAAAAAAACAACGCCGTAAATGTGAAACAAAAATTCAATGAGATTCATTTGTATTTTATTCTCGGTTTCTTAAACAATCAAATACAAATTCAATATGAATGATTCATTGAATTTATATGCAACTCAAAGTCACAATGACATACAACTAGCTGATCGTCTTCTTTCTATATATTCTTTAATTCTTATTTTAATTGGCACACCTTGCAATCTACTTTGTTGTTTAATTTATTTTCAAAAACAAAATCGTTCGAATTCAATAAAACACATATTTGGATATTTATCTATTCTTGATACGATTGTTTTATATACGTTTAATTTAAATTATGTCATTCGAGAATTCAATATTGATTATGAATTAGTTTATTACAGTAAAAATAGTAGTACAAATGAATATTTAGACTTTTTTATTAATGATAATATAAATATTTTTATTGTTAAAAGAAATCTTGAAGAATATTCTCTGTCTACATGTCGTTTTCTATCTTATCTAGGTAAGTAATCAAAATGAAATCTGCCCAATTTTCATAAATGTTATCTCAAATTAATTTTACAAAGACCTTTGAATAAATGTTTTTCTGTATTTTCTTGCAGCTTTTTCTACGTTACAAACAGCATCTTGGGTATTAGCATTCGGTTCATTGAATCGCTATTCATTAATATCAAAATTAACATTTTTTCAATTTATTTGTAAACGATCTTATACAACTGTTATATGTTCTTGTATAACATCTTTATTTTTTCTTGCAAATATTCATATACTTTGGATGAATGGTTACCGATCATCAACAGGAAATATTGTATGTTATCAAAATAAATATTATACTAATTATATGTTATGGTATCAACGTATACATCTATGTTTATATTCGGCTTTACCAAGTGTTATTTTATTTATTTTCAATACTTTATTAATACGTATTGTATTTGCTAGTCACAAAAGGATACATGAGCATAGACGTCGATCTTCATTTGCTACAACTCCAATGATACGAAATGGTCATCGAAAAAGTTTTCGTTTGAAACGGATATCTCTATCATCACCTAGAAAATTAGATAAATTCAATGCATCAGTAGTAATGAAACGACATAGTAGAAAATTAACTTTATCATTAATATTTATAACATTATCTTATTTTATATTAACATTTCCATCAACAGTTATTTTTTCTTTTTTTCGTTCATATATTGAACCAATAAGTTTAAGACGTACATTATCACTTCTATTTACAAATTTATCAACAACAACACATGCTATTCGATTTTTTATTTATTATTTTTGTTCAGTTGATTTTCGAAATGATTTTTATAATTTATTTACATTTAAACGAACGTTTCGTTTTCAACTTATTAAAACAACATAATAACATATACAACATAGTGATATATTAATTCACTTTAAAATAATACCAAATACAAAAAAAGAAAATGAGATAACGGAATAAAGAAAACTGTCAGCTTAAAGTCTTGGTAATTGTTATCATCCTCATTTCATGACTTATGTATTAAATGCATGTATGATTATAAATGATCCGATTCTCGGTATTGTAAAAATGCCTTCTAACAACATTTTCATTATACTGTTTTCTTCTAATAATCCAATATGGTTGAAGAGATATTTTGTCATGAATATGAATGGCTCATTGACGACTACTTATTCTGTCTTCTTTCATTATACTATGCCAAGTGATTCCATTATTAAAGCTCTAGACGCATGTCTATGGATAAATGCTTTATATGACGTGTTCATTAATCTACTATGCTCAACGAACATCGAAGCACGTTCTCTTTCATCAATACGTTTATTATTCATCAACAATTCTATTTGAATCACATGCGCGTACATATATACTTGAATAATTTTCTAGAATAAAAAAAGAAACCAAAATGAACGACAAAGAAATTTCCGTTTTGTTTTTTATGGACTATGAATGCCTTGCAGCACATATATTATGGAGAACACTTATGCATTGATTAACTTCATTGGAAAGAAAAAGAAGCTAGGCGAATGATTCAATTAATATCACATATATGCATTTATCATTTCAAGAGAAGATACAATAGTTTATTAATTTTTTTTTTACATAATTGTTGTGCCTCAGGATATCAATATCAACATATATTTATTTTCAGAGAGATTCCCATTGATATAGAACATCATCATGGGCAACAACAATACTGCAGACAAAACATGCTTTCGATTAGATTCGAACTATGTTCTTTATTCATTTCTACACATTTAACGGATTCATCCAAAACATTTCATGAATGTATATACAAAAAAAAACAACAACATATTTTCTCTACATATAACAAATGTCTTTTAAACTTCATTATCATTGTAGTTAGACATTGTTTGTTGAATACGTTTACGTAATTCATTGACTTTTTCTTCTTGAGCACGAATATGTTCGTCTGTAATGTTAACATACTAAGAAAAAAAAAATAAAACCAAAATAATAAATTTTGTTTTTTAATAGTAAACAAAAAAAAATTATCTTTTTTTGTGTTGATGAACTAACATTAATTAATGGTTGATCACGTTGAATATAAATAGTTGGATTCTTTTGAAATTGTTTATTTTGACCAAATAATGCACGTGAATTGCTATAAAGATGAAGAGATGTTGCTAGACTTATAAGAACTGTTTCAGGCGACATGTTCAGACCAACACCTGAAAAAAAAAGAATTTTTTTGTTTTCTTTATAAACTAAAATTAATAAATCATTCTATTATAGATTTATTTCAAATTGAAGTAAATAACAATATAATAAGAAAATAAAATGTCTGTTCTGATGTTGATATCAATAATTATTAATAGTATGTCAATGACTGAATATATGACCCAGAGGTCTCAGTAGGCTGAGTTGCGCAGAAGAAAGTTAGCTCATGGGTTGGGCTCAGCCCATTGAAATCTCTGATATGGTCAATTTCTTTTAACTATCAAATGATGATACAAGATAGAATGTAGAGTTGTTAACTACTGCTATAGCCTTTTAAAAATATTGTAGTTTTTGATGAACAAAAGCAACTGTTCAATGAAGTGCTGACATAATTGTTGTAAATAGTGAACAGTGACTCACTAATATAGAGTCAATTAGATCATCGACTATACTGACATCCGCAATCACTACGATATTAAGAAATAAATCTTCTCAAAATATGCTCTTTTTTGTAGTAGTTAATACAAGTTGAAACTGCACATTACTATAGAAAATCTATATTAGTCTATTTAGAAAGAAAATTTGAATTGTGTGACCTTGTAACATTAAACATATTGTAAATTCGATCACTGTTCTATTATCATATGAGTTTTATTTCAAACATACAGGTTTCAAATATGATATTACAAAAAAAATTAATTACGAACATGTTAACAAGGAAAGTATCTACGGTGTCTAGTTTTTTTCTTTTTTTGATTCATTCATATATCTATCATTCGGTAGAATATATTGATATAAGAAGAGGCTTAGAGAATTTGAGCCTATGACCTACTAAGAGTCAAGAATTGCGAAAAAAAAATCAAAGTGAAAACTTTTGTATCCGAAATTTGACCTATCGATACATTTCATAATAATTAAATCCATTCTACTTAACAATTAATTATTTCGAAAAATACTTGTTCATTCTCGTTGAAATTTACAAGACTATCGTATGATTGTTAAATCTATCTATACGAAAAACTTCAGATTAAAACTCTTCATTTTAGATTTATCATAATGTTTGACTCTCAGTAAAAAGACAAAATATGAATCTAAGAAAAGGATCGATTCTCTCATATTTGCAACTTTATCATAATGTAGTAAGATCAAAAATATTTACTTTTAATTGGTTCAGGTAATTTAACTTCTTCAAAAGGTTTTTCATCAATATCAATTGGTCGAATATTTTGAAAACGTTTTTCCCAAAAAAGTTGTCTTGGTTTAGTTTTTTCACTTGGTTTTCCATTATTATTCGATTTAATTGGTTGATTACTAATTTGAGCTTTTACTTCATCACGTTCTATAGGATAATGCGTAACAGGTTGTTTAAATATTGGTAATGTTTGTCGTAAAGGGCATCGTAATGATGTATCTGTTTTTGAACCTAATATAATAAAAAAAAAATAAAATTTAAAATTCACTAAGAAAAAAGAGCCAAACAAACTTCGAACGGTTGAAGTTCCATCGACCGCCGGTTTTATACCATTTCCATGACTAATTTTAAGTTTTTTTGATGCATTATCTTGTGGTAATGGACGTGTTAATTTTGGCGGATGAATATTTAATGAACGATTTGAATTCGATGATAATAATAATGATGATGAATTTACACTTCGATTTGTTGATTCATGCATAATAATAATCTAAAATTTTAACTTCTATTTATTTACAAATTATTGTTAATATTATGAATAATAAAATATACAGCTTTTTTGTTTTTTTCATATTACACTTTTGAATAAAACTAAAAACACACAAGAAAGAAAGAAGAAAAAAAAACAACGAAGCATTTTTTGCATGTTCTGTTTTTTTTTTTGACTAGACAATATGAGATGATATAGATTCAATTAATTCATCAATTAATGATGATACAATATATTGAGTATTATCTAATATACATTCAGTTATATTATCATTAGATGATATAGACCTTGTACGACGTTTTTTATTATTTTTTATTGATGATGATGATGATAATGAATTTTTATTTCGTAAACGTTTACTAGTACGACTATTGGTATTATTATTATTATTATTATTATTATTATTATTATCATTGAAATCAATCATAGGTTGTTGAAAAAATTGATCTGGTGAAAATTTTGTATCATTTGGAATTAAATTTGGATGATGAAAACGACAATAAATTTTTTCAATGATACCATCTATATGAGATGATTTTTCTTCAAATTGTTTTGTTGTTAATTTCATTGGATGAATTGTTGAACGTCGACGAGGAGTTTGTTGATGATATTCTTTTTGATGAGGCTAAAATATTCGTACAAAAAAAAAACGAAAAATTTCAATTATTGATAGAACATTTTCAATTAACTTAAAGTAAATTCGTTATATTGAACGTTTTAAAACTTGTTTTTTTAAATACAAATTAAATATTTATTATTAGAATACAATAAAATCTGCTGATCATGACTAGTACAGAAGATGTTCGCGTCTATATTAACATCTTCTTGTCTATTCCCTTATTCATAATTAAATAATTTGAATCAAAATATTTCTTCAATATATTTCTTGTTCATATTAGAGAGAGACATTTCCTATATAAATCAATTTTGTTGGACTGGAGACTATACATAATTAGAAGGTGCCTTACGGTACATTGAACTTTGTTTACAATGATAAACAAAAATTTATCTAAATCGATTTAAATTTTGAATTAAAAACTTCAAGAATATTTCGTTTCTACTACTGCAGATGAAGGATTACTAAAAACAACTAAATTCGAAAAAAAAGTATTTTTGACGAAAAAAAACCTTGAGAAGAATCCTTAACATAAAATTTTGTAAAAGAAAATAACACTATTCAATAGATTCAAAAGAAAATTTAATCTTCCCATTTTGATATAAGAAATTATATCAGCTTGAAGCTTATTACGAGGGCTATTAGAATATGTATAAATCTTGACATTGAATTTTTTTTCGAAAAATACACTCTTCTAACGAGGGAAGGACACCAACTGTCCAATCGCTTTTGAGCCGAGACTATGTGCATTATGTAGATCCAAATGAGTT